GTCTTGTTCTGGCCGGTTAAAAGATGCGCAAATCGTATTTGTAATCATATCCCAATTTTGTCAAATGGAACAAGGGTGGCTCATTAGCATATTTAGAAAAAGCATTTTTTACGAAAAATTTGGTACCACACTTGGTATTTCGAGTCAAATTGTCGTTATGAACGCACGTTACAATTCCAAATAAACCATAAATATGCAAAAATGTCAAAATTTTACGTATGATGTATCATTCTATTCAGACTGCCATTTTCTTTCAAATAAAGTAAAAAAATGGTGTCATTTAAAAATCAAAAGTTGTAGTAATTTCCGGTGATTCAGGAATTGGTCAAACACAATACGAAGTATTGTGTTTGACCTGAATACGTCAGTCATCCCTATTTTATGTAATTTACTAACATACCCCCATGCAGCACGTCCAAATGAAATTACGTTTCTACAAGGGAGATACATGAAAAACAAAATATGTTAAAGTGAACCTAAGTGTTCATCTAGTTTTATATTGATAGAATTGTGTGATACAGTGTTTACTAGTTGTATACCGTGTGCACACAGGATTCTAAAGAGTTTTTTGTAACGTAACAAATAATTATTAAAATGATGAAATCTAACGTCGGTATATGAGACATACAAAGTATAAGTCATATGTATGTGTGATACTTCGTATCATAGTTGTGCTTATAGTACACACCTTGTAAAAATGTGACGTATACACATAATATAAATATCTATATAGACACTTTGTAATAATGTAGTGTTGTGTCTACATTCTAGCATGAAATGAAGGTGTGCGCACGCGCAGATAGCCTCAGCGTAGACACACCGACCAAGTGTATCTTATGTGTCCTCTCTCCTTTCTCCTTTTTAGCAGTGGTATGTGTTGGCAGCCATTATTGTTTTATCATTCTCTAGAAGCTCTATATAAATGTTCTGTTTGTCTGTAGTTTAAAAGAGATTTAAAGGTAAGCACAAGTTTTTAATTACCTTGTTACACCTTCCTAAGTATATTATTAATATTATAGTAGCGACTCTTCCCGTACTCGATACCCAATTTACCAAATTTTGACTCCAATGAATGAAAACTCCAAATATTCTCGTATAATGATAGAGAGATTAGCTCTGCAATATATTTTTTTTTAAATTTGGAAATAATAAAAATCTAAATGGACCAGAGAAAGAAAGATTTAAACACTTCAAAGAACTTCTTACACTGATATTCGGTAAGTTATTGATGGATCAATATACAGATATGTTTAATATTCAATAATCAGTTTCATATAAAATTTAAGGGTGAGATTGTTAATCTGGAAATAAAATACAACAAAGTCCAACAGAGTGCTCGATGAATGAGTATGCTAACAAACCAACTGCTTGGAAGGAAAAGAGGAGAAAAAATGACTAAACGAGGTCCACCAAATCGTGGCGATATACCAGTGTTTACCATTTTAGTGTATGTTGTTATACTAGATACTTATATTTTTAATACATTTTGATACAAATTCTGTTCTTTTACAGTGTTTTCTTTTGGAAAATACAAAGCTTTGTCTTCCTAATTTTCGTTCTAAAAAGATATAATTTGGATCATTGAATAAATAATTCTTAAAAAGAACGAAAAGTTATAAAAACTTGTATTATTTCCTAAATTCGTTCATAAGAAGTAGTTTCATCTAGCACAAGATGTATATACGAAGCAAAATACATACGTATACATGCGGTAGTCACAACTGCTTGATTTGCATCAAGATTTTTTTTTATATTTTGTTTCTTATTACTATAATTTGTGTTTTAAAAACAAATAAAAAGTATTTTACCACAGATTTATATTATATAGGTATATCTGGCATATAAAAATAACTGTGATAAAACTTGGCCCAAACAAATGTACTTCATATACAGCAAAATTGTGAAAAATGTTTTCATAATCTATCGAATAACGATAACAAACCAACACATCTCATATTTTTTTTATAACGGTATCTATTTTACAATAAAATCAAGTTTAATATTATTATACAATACAAGGTGGTCAAGTATGTTCCAAAAAAGCTTCAAATCATAATTTGGATTTTAGATTTACACTCCAAACTTTTTATATAATATATGAATTATAGTAACGCACATTTTAGAATTATTTTCATAAATATCCAGATATGTATATTTTTTACCTATGTCGATTTGCTATAAAATTTCCATTTAGTTTATTTTAAAATTTCACCATTTTTAGAATTTTTTTTCCATATTTAAAGCTCTCATAGAACTTTTTATAAAATTACAATTTAAAAAAAACAACCGTTTTTATTATAGTATGCATATTTAAATATCTATATATAAATATCTCAAAAACCAAAGCTTTTAGACATATTAAATCCTTATTATAAATGTCTTATTTTATGTCGTAGAATCCAAAAATAAAATAAAATACCGGGTATTCCATAATAAAGTATATAACTTTGGTATGGATGTTAGTTCGGACATACCCTGTTCAAAGCGGGTAAAGCATTCATTTCAAAATCATTTCAAATTATGAACATTGTCTTGCCACATATACTCATAAAATATTTTGCTCGTACATCTTTGCGTTTTTGTATAATTAACCGAGGCGAACGAAGTGCGCCACCCTGTATATTAATAATAGAATTGAGGCCTCAAGTTGCAAAACCCGCCCTATCCATTTAAAAAAATTCCTAATGACTAGGGTTTCCATACGTCCGGATTTACCCGGATATGTCCGGATTTTTAAAGTGTCCGGGGCGGTCAGGACCGGATTTGGAAAAGCGTCCGAGAAACCTGACCGCAAAACAAATTAAATCAGTAAAATATTTGGGTGAACTTTGGTTTAGCCGAAATCGGTTATATAAAAAATTACTTTATATAATGCGTTCTAGAAGGCGTTAGGAGTACAAATATACAAAAATTTTCCTGCGGAAATGCGTAATTTTCATTTTCCGGACTTTAGAAAAGCCGAAATCTGTTACATTAAAACTAGCTCCTGGGATGTGTTTTAGTCATTTTTCTGGACATAAGAACACAAAAAATTGTCTGCGGAAATTTTGATTTTCATTTTATATAAAAAATGCTCTGACTTTAGAATAGCCGAAATCTGTTACATTTATATCAATGTTTGTATTAAATTTTAGACATTTTTTCGATTATAAAAACACAAAAAAAACTGTGCGGAAACTTTTTATTTTCATTTTATATAAAAAAAATGTTCTGACTTTAAAATAGCCGAAATCAGTTACATTTACCCTAATTGTTCTGTTGAATTTTAGACATATTTTCCACTATAAAAACACCAAAAGAAATGTGCGGAATAGACGGGGAAGTTGGCTCAGTTTGTATTGCGTTAGTGCTGCAGACTGTTGACCTCCGCGATCTGGGTTCGACTACCAGCGGAACTAAAGTGGTCAAACCAAACCAAACCAACCAAACCAAACCAAACCTAACCCCACCCAGCACCCCTATTCGCTCCCGGGTCCCATAAGCTTCTAAACTGAAAAATGTATGAAAAACAAAATGACATTGACATATTTCCGCAGGATTTTTTTTTGTTTTTCTATGTTCATAAAGGCTCGTATAAAACAAAATATAAGTTCATTTCTCATGTAACTGATTTCGGCTACTCTAAAGTCAAAGCATTTTTTTATGTAAAATAAAAATAAAAAAATTTCTGCAGCACACTTTTTTGTGTTTTTATGTTTAGAAAAATGTCTAAAACACACCCCGAAAACTAGTAGTTTTAATGTAACAGATTTCGGCTATACTAAAGTCCAAAAAATGAAAATGACGCATTTCCGCAGGAAAATTTTTGTATATTTGTACGCTTAACGCCTCCTAGAACGCATATATAAAGTCATTTTTTATATAGCAGATTTCGGCTAAACGAAAGTTGAGCCAATAAATATTTTACAGTTACAGTTGAATTAATAATTAATTCAACTGTAACTGTAAAATATTTTACTAAGTTAAGTAGAGCTGTAGCATCGTAAAAACTAATAAAATATTCAACAAAGTAACTGAGAAATAATTTCTAATCCACGCATGTTCGAATGTACCCATTTCTATACTTCGGCGCTCAAATTTTTCGCTTTTGGTACACTCCTGGAAAGTGAATGTTTTTTTGGTTTATATTTTGTTGATTCCAGGGCTATTATTTGCGTCCTATAAAAGTTTAAATAGATTTATAGTTTCTTTTTTGCGACGTCCGGATTTTGTGCGGATTTCAGAGTTCATTTATCCGGAATTTTCAAAAGCCTTTATGGAAACCCTACTAATGACATATATATTAATAATGATCCCTGAAATCTACAAAACATAGTCCCAAAATTGCAGCAAAAGTCGCCTATTTCTATATTATTACAATATCCGTTACTGCAGCAAAATCCGTCTTATCCACTTATATTGTTTGCTTTTAATTGTCATTATTGTTGCAAATCCGACATTATTTCAGTCATAGGCTTATTTTTACACAAGTTTAATATTACTACTGATGGTCTTATCAATCCTAAATCCCTACCTAATTTTAAGGAATTATTATTGATTTATTAATTATAACATTTGCATATCGAATAAATCAAGTTAGGATGCAAATATCTTACTATATGGAAATCCGCAATATGCATCTTACTGCAACAAAACCTGCTTTATCCAAATTATTTTTGTTTTTTCTCTTTAAAAATTAAATATTAATTGGTATTTCTAGAAAAATGAGATATAAAACAATGATTCTACTCAATGGACACGTTTTTTGTAAAATAACGCTTCCAACATTTGCTAAAACAACGTTTTTGGGATAAGATGGGTTATGCAACTTGACGCCTCAATTATAGAAAAATTATCATACAAATCGAAGATTATTATTTCTATCGATATACAAAGCTAAACACAATGTTTTTAAGAACAAATAATCTTCAAGTAATAATTAAAAACAGGTTATAAAAAAGGACGGATATTCCTTTAATTATTAACTAACACATGTAACAAATAATAAATAAATAAGATAATTCATTGCTCTATAAGAGTTTATTTTTCAATATAAATTAACTACTAACTATTTCATAACTCGGTATGCACATGAGCATGTTGCTTGACATCTGGTGCATGAAGGAATACGCCTTCCATAGACTGCCAATGCACTGCACCCGTGGAGCTTTTTATTCCCACTACTTCCATCTGACCATTTATAGGTCTGCCAAATGTTCTTCCAGATATAGCCAAGTACATCTGTGTATCTACATGCCTCAACATAATACTATCATCTCGTCTCCAAGAATCACCTTCGAATATTAAAAAATATCAATAGCTTAATTTTTATATGGTAAAAATTAACTATAACTACCTGTACAAATAACTGTCCAATTATCTCCAGAATCTCCTTCGCCCTTTTCATCACCGTACGCACTTATTTCTTGATTACCACTTAAAGGGCTTGAAAATAAGTGAGAATGTAAATTTTTCTTAGTTTCTACATGTTCCAGCCTATAAAATAATTTAAATAAACGTTTATTATTGACCTAATTATGTTTTATTTACCTAATAATTGATCCACATGCAATTGGATCCCCTCGAAGACACACTTTTCCTGCAGCTCCTTTAATGAGCCAATGACTGTTAATATCTTCTTGTACTTCTGTAGCAGTTACAGATTGTTGTCCACTTCCAGTCCCATATTTAACGTCATGTGAATGTAATCTTACCCGATAGTCTGTATTCATTAACTTGGTTACCGATCCACATGTTACAAATTGTTGTCTGGCATTTACTAAAAAAGACACTTGAATTTATAACAGTAAAATAAACAAGCCTAATTTCGTGATTGCTACAAATCATGAAGTTTCAATAAAACTGGTGAATTAAATAGAGAACACATAGAGAATACGTACCGGTAAGCTTTCCAAAAAGTTGAAGAAATAAGTAAACATGCAAAAATTTAATTATACTCTGTTTCATTACGAAGAAATATAAAGGTATGATACACCCACTAATTTATTCAAATAAACTCAATATATGCCTATTATCTACTTTGTTATATATTAAAAAGTGACGTGTTATTAATCAAAAAGCCAAAGAAAATCAATTTCAAAAATTTGCCAACATTTTGACATATTTTGACACTTTAGTAAATGTCAAAATAAATCTCTTCTTTTTTTTTCGTAGGCCACTCTGGTAGGCCATAATAGAACCTTTTACCAGGATCCTCCTTTTACCGCAGCCAGTACAGTTCATATATGATAAAAAATATCCGTCGCAACAAAAACAATACATACTGTAGATATCACACCATTATTATGGTAATTAGACAGGAACTTTGATTGCAATAATGCAACGTTTTCAAAGCCATATAAATTGATGGTTAAAATTAATAATCCGTAATAAAACAATTATATATGATGATTTATATATGATAGAATTTTAAATAATCTGTGGTAGAAAATAATAATCTATTTATTATCAATTTGACAACTTCCAGCTGTTGTTTTGTGTCCAAAAAATGTCATTTTTTTATTAAAAATTTTTAACAAAATCGGAATGTAATAATTACAACTTTTAGATTATAATTAATTAATTGCCTTTTTTTAAATGAAAAGTATGTTTTTTAGGTTATTTCATCACTAGATTAACAAAAACTAAATGTAAACAGGAGAAAAACCTGAATCTAAATTAGCGTAATATTTATAACTACCTAACATACAGTGTACATACCAGTTTCAAATTCAGTTTAAACAGTTACCAATTACAATTACAACGCTAGTGATATGTTAAATTTGATACCCCATGTGTAAAAGATAGTTCTTGGTGGGTAATGATTGCGAATGAAGCAGTTGGTATTCTAGTTAATACTGAAGATACTGAGCCCCGAAGTGCCTTGACCGTGGTGTGCAGTGATTCCGAAGACATTCCTTTAGTTCCCGAAGTAGCCTTCGACGGCAACTTGGATTCTCCAGGAATTAATAGGGAGTCTCAGCCCTTGCTAGGAGGGCTAGAGGTCTCTTACAATCAATTTCCAGGTATAGTAAATTTCACTTTTGTATTAAGTAAATACAGATGGTATATTAACAACCTAGAAGGTACAGGTTTAACATGTTTACTAATATCTATATAAAGATTATTTTCTTAGTCATTGTTTACATAAATATAAGCTGGCTCAACAAACAGAAATAATTTTGAATGGGATTTAAAAAATAGATAAATCTAGATATAAGTATTTATACATTTTGTTGTCAAAGTGACATAACTCTTTCTTAAATCAATTATCTATTTAATGTATTTTATAATTTTAGATGATGCCGAGTTTAGTGAACTGGTATGGCAAACGGAAACGGCTATTGATAATGGGATATTTCCGGAAAGGATAACACAAGGATCTAGTGGTTCATATTTTGTAAAAAACCAAGCGGGAGTAAGTTTTTTACTAAAATTAGGTGCTATAATAAAAAATGGTTTATTACATTGGCATTTAATAAATTATTTTAAGAAAAGTCCCATACTTAAAAATGTTTTATTAAAGCCTAAAGCAATATTGAATTATGAAATGGGAGATAACATTGTTAAGTTTAAAATGTTTTCTTTGGTGTAGTTCATATAGTCTCTTAAGTCTCTTCTACATGTAACATTTTACCTGTCAGTCTAACTAGGAGCGGCATTTTTAGCATTTCCCAGTTTTAAACCCCAGTGTTGACGGTGTTCTAATAGGGAAAAAATATTTGAAAAAATACAGTTTTTTAGATTTATTAAGGAAAGCTTTATTGTTACATTATCTGTTTTTTTTTATAGAAAATTATAGCAGTTTTTAAACCAAAAGATGAAGAGCCTTATGGTAGGTTGAATCCGAAATGGACAAAATGGATGCATAAATTATGTTGTCCTTGTTGTTTTGGCAGATCGTGTCTGATACCAAACCAGGGGTATCTGTCGGAAGCCGCAGCCTACCTTGTAGATAATAAGCTAGGGTTAAATATTGTACCGAAGACTAGGGTAAATATAAAAAACACACAGGCTAAACAACCGCCAGCGGTATTGTTAGTGTATACACTTCTACCGGGTGCATCTTAAAAGTGGCCCATCCCTATAACTTTTATTTTTCAGATAAAAAATCGAGATTTGGTATGTTAGTATATGACATAAATTAGGATTGATTGACTTATTCAGTATTTGTTTTCGATCACTTCCTCGTTCACCGGAAATGACTGCAATTTTTGATTTTTAAAGGAACCCTCGGTATTTTATTACATTATATGATAGATAATGGAATTCTGAATAGAATGACATAATATTTCAACTTTTGACATTTTTGCTTAAAACAAAATTGAAAGGGTGGCTGCAATAAGCAGGCAGCACCACTTTTTTAAGAAAATGAGATTGTTAGTTAGTTACCTTTTAAAAATAGACCAATTGTACCCTACTCTATACCCGGCTACGTTGTGCTGCCTTGCTTTCGGTTTGCAACAAAAACCGGACGGCTGTTTGATTTGGCTAGCAAAATTGTTAAAATGGAGCTGCCTGGTTATTGTAGCCACCCCTTCAATTGTATTTTAAATTTCAATCTAGAGTGCCATGGCTGTATTAAAAACACTAATAAAATATTAAATTAAAAGCTGTCTATCATAACAAGTATAAGAAATATAAGAGCGATTTATTTTTGCAGAGGTTTAGAGAGTTGAGAGCACTTATTAAAAGCTTAATCAAAGCTAACTACGAAAATTATATTCGCGGAGTCGAAACCTCTGTGTCTTCAAATCCACAACATTTTTGGGGCTTTATCCACGCGAGGAATAAATCTTCTAGAATACCCGGTCAAATGAAATTTAATGATGAGGTACATGATTGTCCAAACGAAATAGTGAATAGTTTTGCTAAGTTTTTTCAGAGTGTTTTTCACCCCGCCCGATAAAGACAATGTTAAATGGAATCGGTGTGTGGTTAGCAATGAGTTTAATATAACATTTCTTAATATCACGGAAGAGGAAATACTCATAGCTGCAAAAAAATTAAAAAATAAGATGACATCGGGTCCTGACAAAATTCCAGCATTTCTGGTGAAGGATTGCATTGGCATTTTAGCAACCCCACTAGGTAAAATATTTAATTTAGCTGTCAATTCAAACACCTTTCCAGAGGTGTGGAAACAGGCAAGAGTATGTCCAATTCTGAAATCAGGAAATCAAAATAACGTGGAAAACTATCGTCCCATCTCAATCTTATCAAATTTTGCTAAACTGCTAGAAATAATTATGTATAATCGAATATATAGTTCAGTACGTGGTGTAATATCTAGTAACCAACATGGTTTTATGACGGGTAGATCTACCGTTACGAATTTAGCATGTTTTACGCAATATGTATCTGAATGCATTGATAGTAATGGGCAGGTGGATGTTATATATACGGACCTTGCCAAAGCATTTGACAAACTAAATCATTCTATATTACTGGACAAACTTAACTCTATGGGTTTTACTAGACCATCTTTATTATTTTTAAAATCTTATCTCTCTCAAAGAAAGCAATTTGTCTCATATAGTGGCTACTGTTCGACTGACTATATTGCTACGTCAGGAGTTCCTCAGGGATCAAACCTGGGCCCACTTTTATTTCTATTATTTTTAATGATCTAGATAATATCCTTAAGTGTTTTAGACTATTTTTTGCTGATGATTTAAAAATTTTCTTGCGTATATCGGATAGAGCGGATTGTAGTTTCTTGCAGACACAGATTGATCGCGTTGTAGAATGGTGTGATGGGAATAAACTAAAGTTAAATGTTGATAAGTGTAAGATAGTGACATTTTCCAGAAAAAAGAATGTACAGTATTTTAATTATAATATAAATAATACCGAATTGGAACGACTTAGTGTAATCAAAGATCTTGGAGTTTATTTTGATTCGTCTTTTTCATTTAGTGATCATATTATAACCAAGGTACGAGAGGCTCTTAAATTTTACGGCTTTATAGTTCGCAACTGTGCGTCTTTTACTGACTCAAATGCATTTTTAATATTATACTCAGCATACATTCGATCTAAACTGGAATATGCTTCATTGATTTGGTACCCTGTGTATACCTGTTACAGGCAGCTTATTGAGAGAGTACAGAGAAGATTTTTGAAATTTGTTTCATATAAAGTTAGCGGAGTGTATCCTGAAAGGGGTATTCCCTACATTAATTTAATTAGCACCTTTCAGTTGCAAACTCTCGATTTGAGAAGAAAGTGCGCATCAATAGTCTTCCTGTATAAGCTGTTGCATAATGCGATAGATAGTTCTGAGCTTGTTGCACATATAGATTATTTGGTTCCTTCTATATCGACTAGATCGCATAGAACATTTTATTGTGCTAGAGCCAGAACTAATTTGTTGCTTAAATCTCCAGTTTATGTCATGTGTAGCAATTATAACGTAATATCTGATAAATGTGATATTTTCTTTGATAACTTAAGTCACATAATTGCTTTAGCTAATAATATGCTGCACAGCGGTGTATTTGAGTTTTTTTTTTTTTGTTTATATTCACCTTTCAGTGCTTTTTACTTCTGTTAATTTTTAAGATTTAATTTACATTGATATGTTTTTTTTTCATTTATTTTTTATTTAGAGGTTAGTGTATTACTAATTTATAGATATATATATTGTAAAATTGTCCTATAATTGGTTTGTAACTGTTGGGCAATAAAGATATTATTATTATTGTTATTAATGTTTAAGCCATGGAAATTATATTTGATCATCTAATGTTTTTAGTGTCTTGACCTGGCCAGTTAAAAGATGTCCAAATCGTATTTTTAATCATATCTTAATTTTTTCAAATGGAACGAGGATGGCTGATTACCATATTTGGAAAAAGCATTTTTTTAAGTATAATTTAGTACCACACACTTGGTATTTCTAGTCAAATTGTAGTTGTGAATCGCATGTTTTAATTTCAAACAAACCATATTCAAAAATGTCCAAAGTTGACATATGATATGTCATTCTATTGAGAGTGTAATTTTCTATTGAATAAAGTAACAAAATACTGAGGAGGCCATTTAAAAATCAACAACAGGAAGTGACAGAAAAAAATTGAATACGTCAATCAATCCTAATATATGTCATATACTAACATACCAAATCTCGGTTTTTTATCTGAAAAAATAAAAAAGTTATAGGGGTGAGCCACTTTTGAGACGCACCCGGTATTTCTATAAATGCCGGTATAAAATTGAATTAGTTTGTCATTGCGGCGGTATACACTTAACCTATCAGAAAAAACCGTCCAACGGCGGTATAGTGTATTTTAAACCTCAAATACCGCCGAAATGATAGCATAACCTAATATCTTTGCATTTTTATTTTTTTGCTTGAATTGAGCTGTCCTTGATATTTCATAATTGTAAAAATTAATTAAAAAATAATTGTAAAAAAATATTCAAAGCAATCAATTGATTGTACGAACCATATAGCCTATAGCTAGGCCAGTTAGCATTAACCTAACTTAAGATCCACCATCTGACGAACTCATTTTGAAATGATGACATAACTTTTATTTTTGAACTTCGATTAGGTGATATAAAAGTTTAGTGTGTTCGTTGCTAGCATATTTTGCCAAATCGTTACTGTTTTGAGTCCCTGCATTCTGACGAACTCATTTTGAAATGATATCATAAACTTATTTTTGAACTTTCAAGGTGATATAAAAGTTGCTTTCATATTTTGCATCTAACATGTCAAAAATGTTTATTTTTGTATGCAATAAAATGTAGTCTTATTTTGACAACAGTACCTAATCGCGGAACTTACGCTGGGAAAACAATAACACAAAATTTGGTTAAATAAGGGCGGTATTTCTATTTGTTAAATTTTATACCGACGGTATTTTTATATATTTACCAACTACCGCCGTAAAATTTAGCTCGTTGTTGGGTGGTATCCATGTTAATAAATATGTAAAACCGTCTAACGGCAGTTTTTTATCCCTCAATTGTCTATACCGCCGCGCGCCGGCAGTAATTTAGCCAGTTTGTTATAAACAAACAATAATTTGCAAATATAAAATTTTGATCCTTTTTAGGTTGTTAAGTTGGTATCAGAAACATTTAATTATTTAAGGATAGACAGGGAAAAAGCTAGGGTTAAAAGAGCAATCACGGAACAATTCCCAAACGTAGGTTTAAGGTTTAATCGAATTGGTCTACCTCCCAAAGTAAGAAATACAGAGAAATCGATAGAACTTGGTATGCACGTTATCAGAGACGTCGAAACTGTTACCAAATTAAATTTCTAATAAATAAGAATGAATACGTTTGAAACTTAGAGCGCACTTTTTTCTTTTTCTTATAATCTTAAATCCTGGTTGAAAAAAAGACAACACGCTGTCGTCGCATCGTGTAATCAAATTGGGCGATAAATAAGGATTTATGTTGGTAGTCATGGAAAATGGTTGTCATGAAATTTTTCTTTGCAAATCTGATATTTGTAGTCATGTTTGATTTTATTATTTTTTCTAATCTGACCTTTGTAATTTTATTCAGGGTTTTTTTTGAAAATTTTTTTATATAAAACTACACCGGGTGTTGCATCGTCTAGCGGGACATAGGAAATCCCATGTAAATTTTAATGGGGTCAATTATTGGCTTCCCTAATTATTTTAGAGAATAATTCTATTTAGGTTTATTGAAGAGCACTAAAACCCACATTCAAAAGAATAACTTTAGATATTTTTGATTAGCTCGTTTACGAATTATCGCCGATTTCTTTTTTTTTACGCATATAAACCGTTTATTAATTAAAATATATACAACTGTTTAAAAAAATATACAATTCAATTATATTGTTAATCTTTATCTTCGTAGCAGTTGTTGGTTGCGTCCTTCTTCATCTGCAACAGTTTGAAGACTTTTAAGACTCTCCCTAGGCAGGTGGTATCGAAGGCATTGTTCTTTTTTTTTATAAGAAAGGAGAAATATTTAAAAAGAAATCGGCGATAACTCGTAAACGAGCTAATCAAAAATATCTAAAGTTAATCTTTTGAATGTGGGTTTTAATGCTCTTCAATAAACCTAAATAGAATTATTCTCTAAAATAATTAGGGAAGCCAATAATTGACCCCATTAAAATTTACATGGGATTTCCTATGTCCCGTCCGATGATGCAACACCCGGTATAATTTACAATATTAATGGTATACCTTTTTTAATCAACTAGTGATTAAATGTTTTATGAACATCTAAAATTATAATTATGTACCTTTAAAAAATTTCATTAATAGCGAAACAGCCCCAATTATGCCCCACTAGCAAAACCGGTGATTAAAACTATACTCGCTACCGTAGTTAAACTCATCTAAAAAGTTTTTTTAACTGGAATAATAAATTATAATACAAGTTAAACTTTCTGAACATATCAAAATATTAACTTTTTTATTTTTATTTTTAGAATCTTCACAAATTATACTTCCCAATACTTTTAGAATAATTAAATAATAAATTTTTCGTATTCTCGCTATTTAAACCCATGTATTTGTAAGTACTAGTTTTTTACGATATTCTCCGATGGTGGCAGCACCGGCAGAGAATGCACCAAGCATATACAGAGAAGACCAGGCTACTAGTAACATAGCAAGTTGCCGGACGAATTTGCGTTTACCCGATTTGCGTTCGTACTCGAGATTCACTGCCGGCTAGTCGGCTGGTCAGGCAGTACGCAGTTGCAATTGTGCTTAGACGGGTCGGTCGTGACAGACTAGGAATACGACGCGAAGAGTGCCGAGTATTTATTATTTTTATAACATTATAAACCCAAAACTCATTTCCAAAATTTCCGTCTAAAATCCCCGTCTGACATTGGCTAACATATTAGGGCTAAGAGTTTGGAAAGCCTCTCGTATTTTTACTTGAAGCTCATCCAGATTATTAGCCCTATTATGACCATACACTTTGGATTTTACATAACCCCACAAAAAGAAATCATTGGGAGAAAGATCTGGTGATCTAGCGGGCCACAAAATAGTTCCATGTCCACTAATTAAACGGTTTGACTAAAACGGTAAAGACCTATTTTGGAAATACCATTTTACAATTTGAATTTTCTAACGAACTTCGTAAACATCCATTATTTTACTTAAAAAAAATACATTTTACACGAGAGCTGTTGCGAGAATCTACGTATTCGTTTTGGCTATTAAAACACGAATAAATACAAATTCTGAAACATTCTTATCATATATCTACCTATTCTTATTTTATCGCATTTTACCTATTTTTGTTTTATCGCCTGCTTTTTATCCGGCGGACGGGTATACGCTAATTCGTCCGGTTATGCCTATGTTACTACTACGATGGTCCGGTCTGTATGTATTGTGTCTAAAGTTGAACTGAGAAAACTACAAATGTTATTTGATACTTCAATGTCAAATGTCAACAGAATAAAAAGTAACCGTGGCAACATTGCTACATGCATTCATCAGATAATTTGCTGACGTGTACGCCAACTTTTATTGATTTTTCTATCCTTATATATATTTTTTTACTTTAAAATTGTATTGAATACTAATAACTTTTTATTGGAAGGTGGGTTCCTTTCAATTATTTGTAGATAATTATAAAGATGCTCATTACTGGCTGTCCAAGTTTGAAATGGAGCCCCTGTCACCACCCATAGCCAAAAAATTTCAACTTCAGTTCGAAAGATTAGTTGTCTTAGATTATATTATTAGAAACACGGACAGGGGTAACGATAATTGGCTTATAAGGTAAGCTAATATATAACTATGTTTTACAGGGTTTCGCGTTTATGAGAGGTACAAAGATTCGGTTTTCACATTACTATGCTACTTTTTTATGAAACTAAAGATGCTACACACAGATTTGTCCTAGTACACTATTCCTATATACAGGGCGAATTTGAAATTGTTGCATTTCTCGACCCCTTTCGGATATCTTATAACTTATCGATAGGGTGAAAACTGAGTCCCATAGACTTTTTCACGTAGAATCAGTATCGTAACTGGTGTTTAGCTGGGAGCTGTTATTACAAAAATATGACTCAAACTTAGTTTTTTTTTAATGGGATACCCTGTATATCAGTTTTTGAGGTGAAACTTCTTTACAGCGCTTTCAGATGGAGCGGACCGTCCGTCGTGTTTTTTCAAGATAGCCGTCGGATAAAATCATCCGGACGGAACATACGCGCCCCATGTGAAATTGTTCAAAAAACGCTCCGTTCCATCTGAAAGCGCTGTTATGCGCGTTGGGTTTAAAAATCAACGCCGTAACACTCGGCCTTGAAGAACGGCTGCGAGACGGCCATGATGCGCGACCCTTTCGCAAACTAGCGAGAGGAAAAGTGATAGCTGCAGTGTTGCCACAGCTACCTCATTGAGGGTAGATCTACCCCTTTGTAAAACAATTTAACCCCGCTATATCGTGATAATCTACCCCGATGAAAAATAAGCTTGTGGCAGCACTGGGTAACGATCTGTGCCATACGCTGCTAAGAAAATCACTATAATAAACTTGATATGTACCAACCTGTGTGGTAGGAAGTAAATTTTTATCGATAGGTTTGTAGCTTCTGAATAACGATCTAGGTAAACCATCTAGCTCATTTGTCAGCTCAGAATTAAAATTTAGAGTTACTAACTCGCATTTTCATTGGAGGACAGTGTCATATTTATTTCAAACCAATAATTAACGAGAATATTCGTATAATTTAATAAAATTACTGTAAATCACTATAAATAATGAATTGTTTGTAATTGAACTGTAATTTCTGTATTATTAATCCGGTAAATGATGGAGAAAAACAATTGTGATTAATTAAATATTTATTTTAAGATGATTTCTTAACAACATTCTGAGAATTCAAATAATGAATTGAATAGTGATGGGTTGTTATTTAACTATCTGTTATTTTATAACAATTATTTAGAAATAACATAACGCAACCGTTACTACTTTTAAAAAATAACATATAAAATAACGACACGTAGAGATCGGCCACTCGTGAAACGAAAAACGAAGTCGGCGCTCTGCACCGCCGCGAAATTCTATGCTGCTCGAAGCAATTCCAAAAAACAACTAGTATGGATGGAAAACATGTTATTTCGTCAACCATCGATACAGGCGGCGAGACAACGGAGTGGGGAATGCGCTACGGCGCGGCGCGGCGAACGTAGCTGCTTCGGTCGACGCCGTCGGTGGTCGTATTGGGTTTGCAACAGCTTAAAAATCAAATACGTTTAAATAAAATATACGACGGCCTCCCCATAAGAGCAATGAGAGGATTTACGTCCCAGTATTGAAGGAGGACAGAAAATCGAGTCGAATGGTTTCAAGACATAGGTTCATCCTTGTTTAGTCAAACCTCCTACAATACAAGGATAGACTTATGTAGGAAATGCATTGAAATTCTATAGCCGTCCTTCAATATCGGGACAGGAATTTAAGCGGTACCCTCTGTATACTTTATTTTAAACGTATTTGGTAAAAATAATAGGATATAAAAGAAGCAGGTCTTTTGAAACAGTTGCGGGCATAACGCCTGGCGGTCGAGATAACAGGAGTGGGAAAGGAACGCTGCTGCATCGGTCGATTGTCGATGGAGGCTCGCAACGGGTTGGAGAAGCAGTCATTTTAGATACAACCTGTTACGAGCATAACAGGGCAACGGTCGAGATAATCGGAGTTGGAAAGGAACGCTGCTGCATCGGTCGATTGCCTATGGAGGTTCGAAACAGGTTGGAGAATAACGCATCAGTTGTTTTAGATACATTGTTTTTCAACCTGTTACGAGCATAACGGGCGGAGGTCGAGATATTATGGCGCTGTATGTTGCAGTACGTTATTAAGTTTGTTTTATTTAGGTGTTTATTTATTCTGAAAAATTTTCAGAATATTATTTTAAGATTTTTTAAAAATGTATACAGGGTGTTTTGAAAAATCTGGTCATTGATTAATCACGATCCTGCTTAAAGCCCTTGACGTAAAAAGCTGATTTTTGGAAAACGGATTAACTTTAGGGTGTAGAGGTTCGATAAAAAGGAATTTTTCGAAACTCGAATTCTAAGGGGGTGAAACCACCCTCAAATATTAGAATATTTTTTATTTAAAAACCGGTGAGTTTTCGGAAAAACTCTTAAACACGTATATTTTATTTTGTTAGTTATTTTATTTTGTTTTTAGTTGTTTTACATATTTTAAGATTTTTTTCATAAAATATGACCATTGAGTAATCACGATTCTGCTTAAACTGCTTGACGTTTAAAGCTGATTTTTGGCAAACGGATTGACTGTGGGGTTGAGGTTCGATAAGGAGGGGTTTCTCGAATCTCAAATTCCAAGAGGGTGAAAACTACTTTAAAAAACGGTTAGTCTTTCGGGAAAACGCTTGGACACGCATAATAAATTATGCGTGTCCAAAAATTGTTTTTTTACATATTTTGAAATTTTTTAAAAGATCATACAGGATGTTCCAAAAAGTTGAGTAATTCATTAACCACGATTCTGCTTAAACTGCTCGACGTTTAAAGCTTATTTTTGGCAAATGTGAGAAAATTTTATCCAGTTTGTATGTTAATAGAAATTCTTGCTTTGCATTATCATCACCATTACAAATTATTAATTCGACGCTAACGAATTCGCGGGTACACGCTAGTTTAAGTGTAAAATTAATTCTAACTCTAGTGTGTAGTTGGTTTACTTATGAAGAATATACTACACATTTTCTTATATTGCTATTTTTTGACCGCAAATGGTAAAATTATAACTAAGAGCTTCTCGCCCGTCGAGTGAGATGCACCCTGTACACTGCTACGCAATTCAGGATCTACGCGGATCGAGGGGCAAGGCGTAGGTAGATCGGAATGTATAGGTATAGAAGAGTGGCGGAATTTTGGCTTTTTTATATCGCAATTTGTAAACTGCTTATTTGTAAACAACCACCGTTTTAGAGAGGTATTTTAGATAACAATCGATATTTAGAATTGTTTTGACACCTTGGAAATACTACCACCGAGCATGTCATTGTTGCAACTTGCAACTGCGTTAATACGCCTGGCGGTGACCGCCTCATACTCTTTCAGATATTTAGCAATAAAATAAAGAAACCTGTTATTTTTAAGCTGTTATTTTAAGCTGTTTTTTATAAATAACTATAACAGTTTCAACTGTTATCTAAAAATAACAGTTTTGCCCATCACTAGAATTGAATAATAACATAATGACAAGACAAGTGACATCTGTCTAAAAAAGACAACGATTTAAGCTGTACGCACATTGGCGCGATCACGATCACGATCAGGGCAGCATAATGAACAAAGCATTTAAACAAAAACAGACCACAGATCACACAAAACATATTGTTGGTTAGTAGAAGTTATTAGCAATCAGAGATATAGATGTAGTAGTATTTTGGTTTAATGGCTGCCAGACTATCCGGCCGAGTGATAGAATTATTATCGTTTTTTAATAAAAATTAAAAAAACAATATTAAATTATAAAGGTAGAATAGTATACGGTTTTATATTAACTTTTTTAAAGTTTATAAAAGGCCTTCAAAAAAAGATATCCTTCAAATCCTTCAATTTAATAGCTGTTAGTAACAAGTTTCACTTCACACATTTTTTTTATTTTTGTTTGCCTTTTTATAAGCTTTCTAAAATATAATATATTTTATACTTATTTTCATAAACAAGGTCAAAAAATGCATTCTTTAACTTTTTAATATAAATCTGAAAACTGCATCTTTGTATCTCTACTCATAACACAAGAAAATGAGACAACCTGTACATTTGTTTTAGATACGACCAACCATCAATTATAAACGGCAAAACAGTGAGTGCTCAAGTGGACTTAACAGATACGTCAGACTGGAATCTAGTGAATATGCCAGAAATTAAAATAGCCGCAATCGATAACGGGTTGGCATTTCCTTATAAGCACCCTGACAGTTGGAGGGCGTATCCTTATCATTGGGCGTGGCTGCCGCAAGCAAAAATACCCTTCGGAAAGGAAATTAAGGAATTAGTTTTGCCTTTGTTAAGTGATATGAACTTTGTACAGGTTAGTTAGTTTAGTTAGCATCCGTTAGCGTGGGTTTACATGAGAGATGAGCAACAAATCGCACACTGCGATTCAATCGCAGTCGCAACCTGCTATTGACTCTCATAGGAAACTGCGACTGTGATTTCTTCTATTGGCGAGTTTCAATTTACATAACCAATATTACTATAGCTGCGAGTTGGGATTTTGCTGCGATTGTGATTTTGTAAACTAGGACCGTGATAACCTTCTATCTGCGAGTTTGAATTTTTAGGAGTTGCGATTTGCGATTTTGTTGCGAATGTAATTTTGTGGTCCATTGCAGCATTTTATAGTAAACTGCGATCGATTTTTTTTCTCTAATTTTATTTATTTATAAAGAAGGTAATATTTTCTAAGGCCAAGATCATAATATACCGGGTGTTTCTCAAGAGTGGTTCACCCCTATAAATTTTTTATTTTTTCTGATTAAAAAAACGAGGTTTGGTATTTTGACATAAATTAGGATTGATTAACGTATTCAATTCGTTTCGATAACTTCCTGTTTCACCGGAAATGACTACAACTTTTGATTTTTAAATAGCACCCTGGGCATTTGTTTTACTTTATTGTATAGAAAATGACACTCTGAATAGAATGGCATATCATATATAAACTTTTGACATTTGCGCTTAAAAAATCTTGTATTTTAAATTTCAATCTAGTGTGCCATGGCTGTATTAAAAACACTAATTTTTAATGAAGCATCCTCGGAAAAAAATATTTTATTATCTATTGTTTTTCGTGTGTTGTCCTGGTCGACAAAGTAGGTACATATTGGTATATCTATTTGAAGCAGTTGCAGCATATTATAAAGTTTTTATACCTATGTGTTGCATGTGTTAAAAAAAAATCTTAAAAACTAAACAACTGATTTTTATTAACTTTTTTTAACTGTTGAGCTATAGGTACATACACAAACAATTATATAGGGTGGTGGCAATTTCGATGCTCAACATTGCCATCTCAGAAACTACGAGAGATACGAATCCAGTTAAATGGGACAAAAGTTGCGTAATTAGAATTCTGACAAACACCTATGAAGAAAACCCCGGTATCTTGATTAGTTTCGGATTTATGCCAAGAAAATGAAAGTAATACGTTTATTTTAAATGACAATATCTTCAGAACTATTTGTATGTATTGCAACGTAAGTTGGTAGTTTTATATTTTTGACCTCTGCCAATTAAATGCCGTTTTCAGAAAATTTTCTAAGCCTTCTAGATTTTCATTATGTAAATTCACTAAAAAAATAGATTTTTTAAAAATTCGCTCAAAAGATCAAGTCTACCTTGGAAATCCAATTGACACTTTATATGACAGCAAGTTAATTTTTGTTTACTCTATTAAGTGTCAAATCTGGACACAAAAATTTATAGTAGATAGTGTAAAGTGTATTAACAGTCAAAAATATGTTTACAAGTGAGGAAACACGTGATATGTATAATGTTTACTTAAAAAAATAATAGAAATTCCAATATGGCATGCGCAAGTTATAGAACATTGTATCCTGAAAGGACACAGCCTCATATCGTACATACCTCATATCGTACTATTTTCGCTAGGATTTAAAGAAATTTAGCAATTGCTGGTAGCTTTAAAAACAAGAGAGCGATATTTTAAAAGGCTTAATGATATTAATGTGCCAGCTCAGACTGAAATTAATCCGGAAACTTCTAGCCGTAAAATAAGTCGCGAGTGTTGTATAAGTGATTCTTATGTAGGGAAAATTATCAAAAAAACATAAATATCACAACTTTAAATTTAAATGTGTACCAAATTTACATTTTTTTACATGCTGGTGATCAAGAGAGATTAAAATTTTGCAGATGGTTTTAGTAATGTGTTCAAGAGAACTCCCATTTTTCTAGAGAAATATTCTAGACCGATGAATTTTTTATTATTTACATTTTTTTCTTTATTTACAAATTCCGATACATTTAACAGAAAAAAATCACATTATTATGCAAAAGAAAATCTTCATTTGATTAGAGAAACCAGACCACAAATAAGATATTCTTTGAACGTGTTCTTGACAATAAAATTTTAGGTTCTGTATTGGCCTGTATTGACTCTAATATACAATTTTTGTGCGTCCAGATTTGACATTTGATAGAATAAAAAAATAACTTGCTGTCATATAAAGTGTCAAGTGGACTTTCAAGGCAGACTTGATCTTTTGAGCTAATTTTTAAAAAATCTAATTTTTTTAGTGAATTTGCATAATAATGAATAAAAATTAGATACCACCGTATAGATTATTTTTTTGCTCTTTCTAATACGATTAAAACTCAAAATAGCGGCCATAAGAAAACAAAAACTTGACTGTTGTTCTGCGAAATCTAGAAGGCTTAGAAATTTTCTGAAAACTGCATTTGATTGGCAGAGGTCAAAAATATAAAACTACCAACTTACGTTGCAATAGATACAATAGTTCTGAAGATATTGTCATTTAAAATAATCGTATTATTTTCATTTTTTTTGACATAAATCCGAAACGTATCACGATACCGGGGTTTTCTTCATAGGTGTTTGTCAAACTTCTAATTACGCAACTTTTGTCCCATTTAACCGAATTTGTATCTCTCGTAGTTTCTGAGAAGCCAATGCTGAGCATCAAAATGTATAGCACTGATCTGAGCGCCACCATGTATCTAGTACAATATTTAAACATTAAAACCGCAATCGGAGGTTACAGTCGCAGAGATTTAAAAATTGCAATCTCAGTTTCAATTGCGATTGGAGAATCGCAGTTTTGCTCATGTCTAGTTTACATGCATCCGTCGTCGTTTTTACGTAATTTTATTGGCTTATTTCAAAAGTGACAGATCATACTTCATTATGATTGGAGTGAAAAAATTACGTACGACGCTGTCATTTTTGAAATGATCCTGTCAGTTCTCTAGACTGTCTTCCGTCAATGCCACTTCAGGTAAAACATCTCCCTTTTTATTCGTCTACACACAAGGTTTCACTTGATACGTTTCGACTGAACAGTTAAAACGTTACGTGTATACGAAGATTTAGACATAATGTGGATTAACCTGCTCTCACTACCGGTTTCGAAGCCCTACTCCATCATCAGGTGAGCTTGGGAGATCCACAAAATGACAACCGCAGCGCAGAGATAGTTAATTCCGACTTGTCGGAAAGTATCGGTTAGATATTAAGTCCCGAAAGGGAGATAGCGGCCTGCGTGCAATGGTAGTACTTTCGTACCACCGAGGCGCAACTATCGATAGTAAAAGGATGTGGTTGTCATTTTGTGGATCAAGCCCACCTGATGATGGAGTAGTGCTCCGAAACCGGTAGTGAGAGCAGGTTGATCCACATTATGACAAACACAGCGTAGAATTAAATTTCTATATTAGCAGTTAAGTGGCAAGAATCCTTATATAATTTTATTATATACCTCTACTTCAAGAAATTTGTTTTCTATGTTAAAATTAAAGGCACTTTGTTATTTTAAAAAATTATTGGCGAATACTGTATGACTTTATTTTCTTTTTCTTTAGGATTTATGTGATGATTTATACCTTCTCTTCAAACAAGACAAAGGTTTCGACAGAAACCTTTACGAACGACAAATGTCAGTTATGCGTGGCCAAATTCTGAACCTCACGCAGGCTCTCAAAGATGGCAAATCGCCTGTACAATTGGTACAAATGCCCGCTGTAGTCGTCGAAAAGTAAGTTTTCATAAGGATTGTTCAGCGATCATTCAACGTTACTTAATCATTTGTCAAATATGCGTTTTAGGATGTGTTTTTGATCAGTTCGTATGGTTCCTAAATTATTAATTACTCAAGTTTGGTTAGTATCAATTTCAATTGAACGGTCCAAGGGAAAAACATGATAAGCGCCATCTTCTAATTTTGCAGGAGAGCCATGGACGGCTGGTGGTTATCAGGTTATTAGAGAGATATCGGTAAACCGAATAGCGTCATGCAGGATTTACGCGTACCTTATTTTGACAGTTACGATATGCGCGAGTCGACTAACCTAACCTAACGCCCGCTAATAACGTTACCGCCTGACCTAATTTGCTGATCAATTACACCAAGCGCTATTTCTAAATAACGTTTAAGAATTGCTTAAATGGGCATGTGCGGATAAAGTATTACTTGAGTTTTATTAGGTAATTTGATATTTAAGTAGCTGTGATTAGTTTTAAAATAAATATCCTCCTAAATGAGACACCCTGTACTTAGAAGAAATTTATTAATGTAATGTGCTAATAGCCTCCATACACCAGAAGGCCCGGCCTGCGGATCCAGCCTGTGGATCTGGCCTGCCCATTAGATCTTTGCCCGGTTAAATATTCTCGTTTGGGACAAAATTTGACTTTTTATAGCAGTTTTTATATAGATAAATGTTTATCGGAATAAAAACTGCCGTTGAGAAAGAAAGAGCGTTACAAATCCGCCGACGTTATCCTTCGTATTTTTAGGCAAATCTAATCTCATAGCCAAGTCAGCGGACTTGGCCTGTGATAGACTTTGTCCGCTAAAGACTTGGCCTGCCAAAGACTCGGTCTGGCCCACAAACGCAAATATTTCATCCGAAGGCCAGATCCGCAGGCCGGATCTTCTGCTCTTCAGCTATCTGTCAATAAAATTATAACGTCAAAACAAATGACGATTACTAAAAACAATGTACAGAAATTGACGAAATGTCAAAAATTATATTGATCGTAACATATCCGTCAATAAAACTATAACCTCAAATCAAATGACAATTACCAGAAACAATGTGCCGTAATTTACTAAATGCCCTAATAGCACCCCATACATTAACATATAAGTTGGACCGATTTTATCCGTCCGAATTTTGTCGGCGAACTAGGCTCGGCACATACCAAAACTCTCGTCATTTTTGAGCTCGAATTTGGCTCCCCGACTTTATAGCCCAATTAGATTTGCCTGATTAAATTGTGTTGTTAATGGGACAAAATTCGACGTTTTATAACAGATTTGATCTGGCTTGCGATCTTTTGGAAGTCCTGAAAGATTTAACGAGTGGTCTTAGATTTACTCGGCATATTTGTACTTAGTGAGGTGTAAAAATGAATAACAATCGTAGAAGACGCGCTATAGCTTGTGCCATGGGGTATGTATTTATCGCCAATAAACAAAGTAAAAAAACGAAGCAAGTGGGTGAAAAAATGGATTTGTCGTAGAGATGAACTAGGTCACATGCTAAGTACTATGTTTGAAGACTTGATACGCGTCGCAAAACAGAGCCAAATATAATTTGACAGGTTTAAACCTGTGATTTCATCTGTGGGCGATAGTGCACGGCCCGATTCGGCTCGGTTCGCCACATACACACGAAGTTTTATCCGCGTATTTGGCTCGTGCCATATCAAATTGGTTAAGTTATCCGCTGGTGTATGGAGCGCTAATGACGTTACCAATCTCTTTCATGGTTGCCTGGTAAAAGAGGGAGTTCTACAATATGAGGTGACGTTGAACGATCGCCAAACAAAGAATATCTTTCTACACTCACCTACACGAAAAACGGGCGCCTTAAAATTTTCATGTATTTTAAAGTTTAATATATTTTGTTCTAATGCGCCGATTTTGATGATTTTTAAGCAATTTGTAGCTAAATTATTTGGCTTTTTAGTGTCTCTTTCTAAATTAAAAATAATACTTCCCGTCTGTCAATTATACGGGGGAAACGAGGAAAAAATGTTTAAAACAAGTTTGAAAATTTTTGAAACACCCTGTGGAATATGTTAGCATTGCAAGGAATTTAAAGATCATTTTATCACAGATTAGGTATTCTATAAGTATACAGATAAAAATCTTGTCTCTAATTCGTGGTACGAATTTTTTATTAAAACCTGTATACGTCCGTTCATACTGTCAGTGAGGCTGCATATATCATATTGCGTTATGTTTTCCCATTCTTCTTTATGGACCAAGCAAAGTTTATTTAATGAAGCTGGTACTTCTTCGCCACCTCTATTTTAGAGTCTTTTTCGATAAATCGCGATAATGTCACTGTTAATTTAAGTTCTGCCACAATTTCCATCTAGATTTACCACCTTTATACAACTATCAGTAGTAGAATAAATAATAAATAACATAAAATAAGCTCCGTAAAGACTGACAAATCCACAAAATTTCAAATCAAATTCAAATGTGTCAAATGAATCGTCAAACAGAACTGTCAAGGATCCCCACCGTAGAGAGCTTTTTCCGCCCACCATGCATGAATACATGGATAGCATTATGCTCCTTCCTTAGTCTTCTTATTCAAAGATGTGGTGGGACCTTTGAATAAGAAGACTAAGGAAGGAGCATATCAAAAATCTTAGGTACACCGCGATGGGCCTCAAATATGGCCGACTTAAATTCCGGTTTCTCAGTGCCGTTCTAATTTTATTTAAAAAATGTAAAACTATGATGTAGGGTAGACGTGGGGTAGACTCAATAATTTGTTATTTTATTTTACGTTGTGAATAAATGTTGGTAGTTATTAAAATTGTTATAAAAATATATAATTCTAATAAAAATAGATAAGTTATAATAAGTATTTATTAACACAAACATCCGATACGCTACTGAAGCAGGTAAGTCAAATTAACGTATCAAAATTCTTTGACATCTGATCTTTGACAAGTAGTAAATAAAAGCTAAAATGCAAGAAAATATATAATTTAGTTAATTTAAGTGAATTTCATAAATGATCGGTTTACTACACGTATGTATATTATATAGTCACTTACTAGCGAAAAGTTGTTCCATTATTTCACTCAATTTTTGCCGAGATCTACCGCACGCTACACAACCAACTATTTTAGAGTCTCGATAAATCGCGATAATGTCACTGTTAATTTAAGTTCTGCCACAATTTCCATCTAGATTTACTACCTTTATACTACTATCAGTAGTAGAATAAATAATAAATAACATAAAATAAGCTCCGTAAAGACTGACAAATCCACAAAATTTCAAATCAAATTCAAATGTGTCAAATGAATCGTCAAACAGAACTGTCAAGGATCCCCACCGTAGAGAGGAGCTTTTACCGCCCACCATGCATGAATACATGGATAGCATTATGCTCCTTCCTTAGTCTTCTTATTCAAAGATGTGGTGGGACAAGGGTGGGACCACATTTTCTTTTTCTGTCTTTTGACGTTTTTGACGGATAGACTACTTATTTAACTGCTCAACTTATGAAGTGGTCCTATTAGCATGATATAAACCGCTCATAATTTGAAGTGGAATTAATTATAAAGTTTTATACATATTTTTTTTTGTCTTGTTTAATCCTTATTTCTAAATTTGAAGGTATAAAATATCTTACAGTTAATAAATAATTAAAAAAATGATTCGTTGCCTGAGGCATATTTGAAATAGAGTATATAGAGATATTTGATAAATGGTAACAGTGGCTTTACTTACTCTGCATAAACCTAGATGATAAAATAATATTTACATTTCTTGCTTTGTTAGCGTACTCCACAGGATATTCCAAACTTCCACCAAAATATGAACATTTTGTTTTCCCTCGAAAGACATACTAAAAAGTCAAATATTTTAGCTACAAATTGCTTAAAAATAATCAAAATCGGTCTACTAGAACACAGTATAAAATATAAAACTTTAAAATACATTAACATTTTAAGGGGTCCGTTTTTCGTGGCGGAGAGTATATATTTTCAATGCCATTTTTTTTTCAGATCGCAAGGTCACCATCACCGGTTTTTTAATTTCACCCAACGCTTCCAAGATAAGAGTCCATTCTTTTCGTGGTGTTAACATAAAATGATTTAAAATTTATTTTTGTCTTAGCTTATCTTTATCATTCTATACATGAATTATATAATGCATTATATTCTTAGTTATTTATATTATTGAGTTAAATTTGGAATTTAGAAGACATTTTTCAGTCTATAGATTTTCTTACTACTGTAACTATACAGGGTATTCCCTAATGACATGCTAATATTTAAGTAGTGGGTGATTCTTGGACCTATAGTAAGAAAAAAAACCTCACATGAATGTCCTAAACATCCTAACTTTTTAGATAGGTATTTTTTTCAAAAATATTCAGTGTACAAGACGAGTATAGACGCCACTGGTTGAAATAAATAAAATTGTTTCTATAACGAAAAAGGCACTTTGCTGCATATGTTGATGATGCATGTATCAAGTTTCAAAAAAATATTTATAACATCAGATTATAAAAAAAAATATCATTTTTAAATTTTCCCACCCTATGTATCTCAGAAGTTATGATATTTAGGACATACATCCATACAAAGTTTTTTTCATAGAATAGGTTGAAGAATGATCCCCTTAAATATTAGCATATCATTAATAAGGAACACTCTGTATTGTATTTTTTCTTGGTAAATCTCAATGGAAAAAAATATTTTTACCTTCAATATTAATGATTTTTTATGTCTAAAGTCTATCCAACGAGCCGGGGAAGATTTCGACAGATGACATCCCAAAAATGACAGAAAATACCATCCGATCGAAAAAAATAACCGCGTGAGTGGTTGCTTGGAAATGAATATTGAAGTTATTTTTTATGTAATAATATATGGGGAATGTCCTCGATTATCATTTCTAAGCCAACTGGACGCCATATTTTTTCTATCATATGGTACAATTTACCTGCAAGTTAAAATGACAGACAAAACTGTCACTGCCATGTATTCTCTCGTTGGACAGACTATATTTACTAATGTATAATTTAAGTTTAAATGTCGATTATATATACTTTTTATATTTTTAAGGTTTCATTATTTAGGCTTTTATAATTGTGATAGTTTTTTTCATAAATTCTTCAAATGTCTGAAGAGAAAATTTTTAAAATAGTTACCTTTCTTTTTCATCTATATGCTAAAAATAAATAGGTTTATATTTTAATTTTGCTATAATTCAAAAGTGATATTTTATTGGAGAATATGTGGTATATCTTTTTTATAGTAATTTATAATAATAAAATTACAATTTATTTAGTACTACTACATATTTAACAAAAAATGTATATATTATATACTATAAGTGAATAAAGTTGCAAAAACAAAAAATTTGTTATACATTTCTATTGCTTTATTTTCGCAACTCTGGGGTCATCGTGACGATATACAGTGTATTTTGCTTTGTACTTTCTGTTGTCTCCGTCATTGGCACTGTACATACGTACTGCGTTTATTATTAATGCAATTCCTACAAACAGAATAATAGATTAATAAAAAAGGTTTCCTAACACCTGAAATTCTTACCTAAAATACCTACAACACCACTAGCCACGCCTTCTGGAAACTCGTGCCATCCACGCTTAAATAATCCAACTAGACCTTTACCTGCATTCGCTGAAGCCATTACCTTTCTTAAATTTTAGAAAATTTAAATAAGTACTTTCCTATCTAACCCCAATAACTCAAATTTGATTTTGATTACACAACACCAGAGACAAGAGACAACCAGACAGGGTTGCCAACCGTAGAACTTTTTCCCTCGTACATAGACAGCTAAAAACCTCGTATTTCGCTATAAAAAGGGTAAAAACCTCGTACATTTAAAATAACCGCAATAAAGACAAAAATTTGCACTAAACATATTAAATGAGAAGACATGTTAATAAATAATTTGACGACGAGATTTAAAAAATAGGTAATCATTTATTAGTTAGTCTATAAAATTACATGTGTAGTTTACATGTATTTAAGGTTTATAAGGCTATATGTGAAGTATCTCCTTTGGAAAATCCTAATTAATGCTATAAATGTGGCTATAAAATATTACCCAAGCCGAAGTAAAAAGTCACGTTAAAGTATCAAATCATCTTTTATCAAAATCTCGTACATAATTGTACGAGGGAAGTCCTGTACCACGTACAGCAAGTCAAAAATCTCGTATTTGTACTTTGTACGAGGAACCTCGTACGGTTGGCAACCCTGCAACCAGAGATAAAATATATTCTGACATTTATGTCATTTAAATCATATATAATTTCAAATATCATATATTTTTAACTCAGTACATTTTTGTTCTGTAGGTGTAGTACTAAAGGCCAGTTTTACAAGCCGTTAATTGTGAGATAAATTAATCTATGGAATATCATGAAATTTTCAGATTTTCCAACAGATTTTCTCTTGAAGTCGGTTGTTTTACGGGTTGCGGTAAACTGCAAACAAAAGTTTAAATTCGAACTAAGATAAAAAGCGGGAATACTTAAAATAATATAAAATTTTTACTTGGAACGATGGTTTATTATCATTTAACTATTAGTTGTTTAGTTAATCTGTTTATACATATTATCATTTCAATTAATTTTGATTTAATAACATGTAGAAAAGCTTGTTGAAAAATTTAGAATTTTCAGGGTATTGTTTCCTTTTTATTAGAATATTTTAATCTAAGATTTTAATAAACCTCTACTCTCTCTCTCTACTATTTCGCTACGCTATCGCTAGTGCCATAGATAAAGGAGTAAAAAAACTAGAACCATAAAATAAATGTAAAGAATGGCTAGAAGCTACTGGCTAGAACCACGGCTAGAACTATAGTTTCCAGTTCCAGCCATCATTTTTTTCAAATGAAGTCATCGCATAGCACAGCGTTTTTTTATTTATTTTAATGTCTCTATTTAAACTCATTAACTGAAGTTTTACCAGAAGGTAAAAAACTGTACTTTAAAATAGAATTGCATTTTACTAGCCAGATACTAGCCTTGAACTTGAAAATACCAATGGTAAAGAAAACATGATACGTAAACAAACAGTCTCTAGTCTCTACGTCTCTGTTATATTAGTTTAGTTGGATTTCCCCGAATAACGTTTATATTGAAAATCTATATTCGTAAATATTAAGCAGAGTAAAACTTTATTTTCTGCTGATAGTCTTGTGCGATAATAACAGTGCCAATTGGTGCCAATCACAGCTTATTAAAAACATACATTAACTGGCAAGTACAGCGATTTTCATGCATATATAGGTAACTCATAATATATTTCTCGGAAAATACTAGACTTGTTTCCTGCATTATTTTTAAAATATCTTTGGTTATTTTAAAAGCAGTGAAAAACAACTACTATCTAGATATATTTACTATAATATTTTTTATCCATTTTTATGACCAAATTCTCATTAATATAGCTTTTGTATCAAAATAAAGTAGGTAACATTTTATTATACAATTAATAGGTTGCCATTAAGCAGGAAGTACTGATTTTTTTAAAAATTACATACCGTAAAACCGGGGCTACTTCGGACAGCAAGGATAAATTCGGACAACGGGTCCTTAAAAAAGAAAAAATATGAAGGGGGTAGCAAAATCATCAAAGCAGCCGCGTGTGGACTGGAACGTGTTTAAAACAGTTGCCCTCAGACGTTTCTTAAGTAATGAGTGTTTTTCGGGCCCGGCGTATTTTTTACGTCAATTTTTGTAAGTATGCAATTTTTGTTGTTTTTTTAAAGTGGAAAAAGTAACTGGCATACAACTAAACCTATTGTTCATAAAGTCGTACTTTTTTTAGTATTCAGTAGGTATATTATCTGAAAGTGTTTTATGTAATTTGAAGATTTTTAATCATTTAATTTTTTTTCCAGATGGTCGTAAGCAAAAAAATCATATTTTGAAGGCTAACTTCGGACATGGTTCGAAGTTACAAAAAGCAACTGGGGAGTCGCCCCTACCAAAATTATTCACCAGAGAGGTTACAGCAAGCAGTAGTAGATGTAAAAGCCAAGCGAAAAACCTTAAGAGAGGCGGCTGAGTATTATAGGATTCCCAAATCCACAATTGGGGATAAAGTTAAGTGGATTCATGATAAGAATCCAGTACGGCAACCAGTGATGAGTATCGAGGAAGAGGCATAGTTTTTGACTGATATTTTTAGAAATAATCAAATCTTTTTTAATAAAAATGTCTTAAATAATGTTTGAAGTTATTAATTTTTTGAGTTTTTATTAAAAAATGAACTTGATTTTTTTTAAACTTATATTTTTGTCCGAAGTTTCCTTTTAACTGGTATAACATCAAATTTACACATTTTTAAAGGCATGTCCGAAGTTACCCCACCTATGGGGATAACTTCGGACACTTTTCAAACATAAAAATATATACGTTAGAAAAAGAAAGTTTAACATTTTTTTTTAGTTAGACATAAGGGAAGAATGTAGTAACCCACACAAAAAATATTGGTTGAATTTGAACACACTTAGGTCAAGTAACTTACAAAAAACCTCAAAAACTGTCCGAAGTAGCCCCGTTTTACGGTACTCATTTTTAAATGTCCTCTAACTTACGCGTCATTTCATTTTTTATTTAGGTATCTATATTTTTTCACATAAGTTTAAAGTTTTGTTTTAAGAGATTTGCACTAGTATTTTCTTAATGTTTGGCACAAGTAGGTACAGTACATCTGTCCGTTCTGTAACTACGGCGTATCCGTGAGAGGGGAAACGATATTCTCTCCATGTTTTTCGTAAAAAATTAGACGACGCGTCTCATCAATAAAAATTCGACAAATTCGCATGTAGCCAATAAAATGAGTGGGCGGAGCGATTTGCGGTGACGTACTCGTCAAGTCGACGTATAAAATATATTGCTGTTTATTTAAATGTTTTTTGTCCGCATTCCTTTCATAGACACAGATCCAGCAGATGTACTGTAGCTGGCGATTTTTGTCAATTGATATGTAAAATTATGGAGTCTTCGATCGTCGCATTTGGTTTTACCGCATTTCGGTGACATTACAGTATACTGAGTTTTCATTGTAACTTAAACACCATGCAGTGTAGGTCTGTTTTGTTCGTCAAATTTTATAACTGAAAGTAGATTATTGGTGTAATGAATGTGTATATTGAAAGATACGACTGACTTTTAGTTTTTATATCTCCTGATGAAGTAAATAAAGATTTACGAAATATTGAGACATAAACAAATAAGTTTTTGAGTCACTGACCGCCAACCTGAAAAAAAGAATCCAAACAATCCTATATATATATATATATATATATATATATATATATATATATATATATATATATATATATATATATATATAGACATATATATATATATATATAGACAGCAGTCTAAACTTTATGTTGCATTCATCGATCTAACAAAAGCCTTCGACTCTGTGAACAGAGATGCGCTTTGGGCAATTATGGAAAAGTTCGGAGTACCCAACAAATTTCTTACAGTGTGTAAAAGCCTCCATATCAACAACAAGTCAAGAGTGTCACATCATGGATCACTGAGCGACCCATTCCTAACAAATACAGGAGTTAGGCAGGGATGTGTCTTAGCGCCTCTCCTATTCAACATATTCATGGCAGCGCTCTCCATTATAGTGGACAGCAAACTGCAGGAGAGGATTGGGCATTAGATACAGATATGACGGCGTCTGTTCAACATAAAAAGACTCAGGGCAAAAACACGTACAAAATTTATCACAGAACTTCAATACGCTGACGACTGCGCTCTAGTTGCAAACACGGTACAACAATTACAAGAAATGTTGAACACATATACCTGGGCATACGAGGCTTTGGGCCTTAAGCTGAACATCGGCAAAACTAAAATCATGTGCACTCCCCCGGAAGATCACAACAATGCTATAAAAATCGGAGAAGAACTATTCGAATATGTGGCGGAATTCAATTACCTTGGCAGTTTGATTTCGGAAAAGGCCAATATTGACTCTGAAATTCAGCACAGGATTAGTAGCGCCTCAAGAGCATTCTGGAAATTAAAAGACAGGGTTTTCTACAATCATGACTTGAGTACAAAAACAAAACTTGCAGTATACCGAGCAATTATAATCCCCACCATGATATATGGGAGCGAAACCTGGGTGCCTTACCGCCGACACATGAACGCATTGAACAAGTTGCAACAGAGACACCTTAGACAACTCTTAAGAGTCCGGTGGTTCCATCATGTCTCAAACGTATCGGTCCTTGAAAAATCTAACTGCGAGAGTATTGAAGTCATGGTCACAAAATCCCGCTTAAGATGGGCTGGTCACGTATGCAGAATGCAAGAAAACCGCATACCAAAATCTCTGCTTTACGGTGAGCTTGTGGACGGTAAGAGGAGGCCGGGTGGACAACTGAAAAGATACAAGGACATTTTCCACGAAAATTTAAAGGGAATTAACATGCAGAATGAGTGGGAAAAAGCAGCTCACAATAGAACTCAATGGAGAAGGGTTGTAAACTCAGTTAACAGCGGCAACCAAAAAGTAGAGAGGCAACAAAGCAATGAGATTTTTGAATGTCCGGAGTGCGGTAGGCAGATAACATCACGTATCGGGCTTTTCAGTCACAGAAAAGCTCATGAAAGAAAACGCCTTGCGTGACCATTTTCTTTATGTGTGTCGAATACTCGTCAGCGAGTAACGGCTGTATGTATGTATGTATGTATATATATATATATATATATATATATATATATATATATATAATATATATATATATATATATATATATATATATATATATATTTTTTTTTTTTAAGAACATTGATAAACCATCATATTAACGAAAATAATGCTACGTGCTGACAGAGAATTTTTAGTCGGCCGACTATTTAGTTGCAAAAGTGACTATTTGATTGCATGTGAGTGCGGCTAGATATATCATTAAATAAATCTGCAAGTTGCAGTTGCAACTATACAGGGTGGTGAGTCTTAAATAAGTGCAAATATTTCCAGGGCTGGTAGCCCACCAAACAAAATTAAGTCTAGAGAATTAAAAAAATGATATTTTGCTTAAATTTTGAGAACCACTGGATCTTCTTTGTTTTTTTTTGTAAATTTAATCTACTATCATATTATCAAAAAAATATGTTTTTTGAAAAAATTTCCAAATTTTTTTTTAAAAAATTCAAAATGTTTCCAAAGTTTTTTTCGCGAAAAAAACCTCATAGACGTGTTTCTGGGGTTGAAATACACCTAAAAATATTTGCCCCCTAAAAAGACCCACCTTGTATAGCACATATCCTAAATGCATTGTTTTCTGATGAGCTTTTGGTTTTTCATCAAGCGATTAAAAACCATGCGATCTAAAAAACGGCGTCGCTGTGGCTTTAAAAAAAATGGCAATCACAGCCCAGTTTTGTTGAGCAACAATTTTGTCAAGTAAATTGTGGCACTGTACTTAATGTTTACCTACTGCCATTGCAACTACGGTAAAAAACGACAAAAATACGTACATTCCTTGGACGTCACGTCAGTTGGACTTAAAGAAGGGTGTTGCCTTGGTATCATAGGATAGAGGTATTGATTTCATTTCGGGCTATGTTCTAATAAATAGTTCCCGGAAAATAATTAATCTTTGAAAAACAGTAAATACACTTACAGTCTATTTATCTTGAAAATTTGTCAGATTACATGATAACATACTGAAGTTTATACAGATGAGTTATTGTTATCTTTAAGTCGTACATCGATATATGAATATACTTATTACCTATAGATTTTTTAAATAAAAATATATTGTCGTAAACATTTTTTACGAGAGTACCTATTTCTTTAATTTTATCACAGTAGTAATTATAGAGTTAAAACTTAAAAGTAGTGATTGTTTTTAACTGATTTAATTTATTGTGAAATTCTGCCGGACAGTGAGAAAAGAGTGAAAATAAAAACATCTATATTTTACTAAATAACTACATTTAGGTAAATATTGCAGAAACTTCCAATGTAAAACTTAACAACAATCTGTGTTTTACTAGATACAGTGGCCATTAGTACGAGGAAGTGAGGAAGTCAAATATCGTAATTAAGTTGACGAAATAAAGATATACATATGAATAAAAAGTTTAATAAATATGAATATTTTGTAACGGCGCATATCCCAAAAATATTTTTAATACAGATAAAAAGTAATGTAGAGTTGTAGGTTTTTTTTTAAATTGCAATCCCCATTTTTCTGCCCAGAACTGGATTCGGTATAAAATTCTGCATTATAGTACACTATTTTTATTTAAAGGAATATGCTATTTCATATTTACTAAAACTATGGATAAAAACAGTACCTATATCTGAAAGGCGGTAAAACCCGAAGTGAATTTTATTAATACTTACCTATATATACCGGGTGCGTCTCAAAAGTGGCTCACCCCTATAACTTTTTTATTTTTTTCAGATAAAAAAAGGAGATTTGGTATGTTAGTATATGACATAAATTAGGATTGATTGACGTATTCAATTGTTTTCTGTCACTTCCTGTTTCACCGGAAATGACTACAATTTTTGATTTTTAAATTGTACCCTCGGTATTTTATTACATTATATGATAGTTGTTGCTTTATTCGATAGAAAATGACACTCTGAATAGAATGACATATCATATGTCAACTTTTGAGATTTACAAATATGGTTTATTTGAAATTGCAACATGCAATTCATAACGACAATTTGACTCGAAATACCAAGTGTATGGTACCAAATTATTCGTAAAAAAATGTTTTTTCCAAATATGCTAATGAGCTACCCTCGTTCCATTTGAAAAAAATGGATATCTTTTAACCGGCCTGGACAAGACACGAATAAAATTAGACGATCAAATGTATTTTTCCAATGCTCCTTCATTAAAAATTAGTGTTTTTAACACAGCCATGGCACTCTAGATTGAAATTTAAAATTCAATTTTGTTTTAAGCGAAAATGTCAAAAGTTGACATATGATATGTCATTCTGTCCAGAAAGTTATTTTCTATCGATAAATGTAAAAAAATACCGAGGGTGCAATTTAAAAATCAAAAGTTGTAGTCATTTCTGGTGAAACAGGAAGCGACAGAAAACAATTGAATACGTCAATCAATCCTAATTTATGTCATATACTAACATACCAAATCTTTTTTTTATCTGAAAAAATAATAAAGTTATAGGGGTAAGCCACTTTTGAGACGCACCCAGTATACTTTCTTAAACACTGAGGATGAGGATCCTAGACAGAATAAATTTGAATGCTATCGACAGAATAAATTCTTGCAGAAAAACTTACATTATATCTTATAGGTACACCATATTTTTTATAGCATTGCAATACTTATGGTATACAGTATACACTATCGGACAAAAGTAGAGAAACTTTTTAAAATTGTGTCTTTTTTGTTAACGCAAGGACTGAGGCCATTTTATGCATTGTTAAAATTAAAGATACTTAATAGTTCTTATGCAAATGAAATAATTACACGTCTCACGAAAACTTAAGATTTTATTCCGACAAATAAAAAAACTATAAGAACAAAAATAGAGAAACAAAAAATGAATACAAAAATTACAAGTACATATATAGTTGTTGCTAACCTAATAAAATTAATAATATGGGTAGAGTAACCGTGATTAGCTATAACTTCACGACATCGCTTTGGCATGGAGTCCAATAGTTTTCTTATGGTATCTGGTTGAATGGAATTCCAGGGGTCTTTCAAAATTCTTATCAAATCTTTTTTATTGCTAATGTGACTTCGTCTTACCCGGCGATCTAGTTCCTATTCTAGTTCCTATGGCGATCCTTCCATTGAAAACCACAGGTTTTCAATGGATTTAAGGTCTGGGTCTGGACTTTGGGCAGGAAATTCCATAACCCTAATTTGTTCAGACAAAACCCATTCTTGTAAGACTTTCGATTTATGCTTTGGATCATTATCTTGCTGAAATATCCAGGTTAAAGGCAAATTATCATCAGCAAACGGAATCATCACTTTCTTTAAGATGTCCAAATACATAAATCGACTCATTGTTCCTTCTATTACATGCAGTTGTCCTATGCCATAGCCCGAGAAGCATACCCCACTATGCAAGATCCACCACCATCCTTTACAGTAGCCTTGGTATACTTTGGATCAAATCTTTTCTCTTCTGGGCGATGTATCCACGATATGCCATCGGATCCAAATATATTGAATTTGCTTTCATCTGAAAACGGGACCTTTTTCCAGTCATTCATCGACCAATGCAAATATTTTTTTGCAAAGGTAAGTAGGACCTTCTGGTTCTTCTTACTAATGAGTCGTTTTTTGGCTGCTTTTCTGCTAAATAATCCTGCTTCCCTTAGTCTTCTTTGGATGGTCTTCATATTTTACTACTGAAAGAGCCATATGCATTATATGTAATATAATACTACACATTTCTGCGAAACGGTTAAGTTAAAAATATAGGAACACTGAACACTTTAGATACAAAAAATGTTCGTTTTTTAATTCTGCATCTAAAATAAAAATAATATACAGGATGTTATATTTAAAAAAAATAGATATAGCATTATAAATATAGCAATGTTGACCAGGTCATAAAAAATCCCATCACGGATTTATCCTTGGTGTTTTTTACTTCGGGTTTTTACCACTTTTCGACATCTACATCTACATCGGCACATCTACTGTCTCTCACCAAAGATCTACTAAATAAGAAATAGCACGACAACACTGCATATTCCTTTAAATAAAAATAGTGTATTATGCAGAATTTTATGCTGAATACAATTCCGTACAAAAAATGGTGTTTGTAATATGCTAATGTTTATCTGTGTCGTCTCTACTGAAGTAACGACTTGCTCTAGAAAGTTGCTTTTTTTACTAAAAGATAGCTAATTGGCTCTTCTAAAAACTGTCGTCGCCGGATTTTTTGTTTTTCATTTAATTAAAAAAAAAAATAAAAAGTATTTTTTTTTCCTGATGTCGCGTCGTCGCGGATGCGCCAGGCTTCAACTAGTTAAAAATAAAATCACAATTTCATCATCACTTTTTGTGTGTACCTTTATAAACTATGTAACATCTGTATATTTTTTTTATATCTTCGACAACAACGACGATATTAGAGTTCTTTGAACTAATGGACTACCCTGTATATATTACATTATAGTAACATAACAAACATGGAAATGGAAAATAAAGCACGCCACGAAGATGACGAATGGGAGATGTTGGACCATCCGCCGAAGCTGCTTTCAACCCGTATAGTTACAAACGTGGCCAATCGTTACGCCCAAACGCTAATTTCCAGCCGAATGCAGAATGTTAGCTCCAAGGCCCAAGAAGCAACATTTTCCATTGTCACGCCCGATCAAGCGTTTATTTCTGGATTTACTTTGGAAATTAATGGAAAATCGTACGAGTCGGTTGTTAAAGAGAAGGAGGAAGCTAAAAAAACTTACGACTTGGTAATATTAACTGCCTAATCAAAATGCAAAATATCAATAATAAAAAAGTTTTTCCTCTTGTAAAGACAATCTTGGAACATACTGTATAGTTTAATAATCTAGTAATCTCTTTGATACTTCTAGGAAGTGTTTAGAGGCAGAGGAGCAGCTCATGTTGCTACAAGTGCCAGAGATTCAAATCGATTTACAGTATCTGTTAATATTGATCCTCAAAGTAAAGCCGCCTTTCATTTAAGATATGAAGAATTGTTAGTAAGGAAAAACGACAAATACGAAATTGTACTAAACATGAATCCTGGACAGTATGTGGAAGATTTTGAAGTTGTGGTAAGTAAAGTATATAGGAGGTACTACAAAAAAACGCAGCAGTTTTCTGCGTTTTCTGCCTTTATTGATAAGAGCCTTTGCACACCGGCAAAACCCGTACCGGCGCTGGTGACCTGCAGCTTTTCATACGTTCCAGTAATTGTATTAAATTATATTGTATCTGCCGGCCTATGCTGCCGGGTCGAATAATATACCGGATCGGATATAAAGCTATAACTTATCATACAGTCTCAAGACTTGACAAAAGCCAATATCTGAGACGGTTTTATATCCCCGATATCACTATTACCAAAGTTCATGGTACGAATGGTCTCGGCGCACTCAGTGATTAGGTGTTTCCCCATTTTCCACACAGAATCTGCATTCGCCGTTGTTTCTTCACATCAGTCTACTGAGGTGTTCGTTGAGGAGACCTGTGAGTGTCCTGTTAAAAACCCCGTGACAATCCGAAGGTTGTTCTTTCTTAAATCTAGGAAACTCTTTGGTTTTTCTAGGTCGTAAGTTCTGAAAAATTTCTTCAAGTGTCTTCTTCGGGACCGTTAGAAGATTTCCATGTTCTCGATTTTTAAGTTGATTCCACTTGGGAAGCAGAACGGTTCTGGTCCAGTTGACTGATGTGTTCGCTCTTTTTCTAGCTAGATCGTTTGCTTTTTCATTGCCTTCTATCCCTTGATGAGCTGGCACCCAGAGTAGGACTTTATTATCTTTGCCTAATTTATCTAGCTTCTCTAACCATTTTTTACCAACTTCGAATTGATGGTTACTGAGTTGTTCGCGTTTAATGCTGCTTGACTATCAGATTGGATGGTAACTTCTTGTTTCCGGTAGTTACCATCTGAGATATGTTGTATGCATCTTTTGATACCGTATATTTTTGCCTGAAGAATGCTGGGGTAGGTGACCAATAGTTCGGAATATTTAGTTTTCGGATCAAATATTCATATCCTTGTTCCTTGTTCCTGCTTTGGTTTTGAAAGCATAAGCACACTCATACGTTATAGTATGGTCGTTTATCTGCTGAGCGAACGTTTCTCTATTCCAATCCTTTTTATTATTGTGCAATACTACAATGAGGTGTTTTTTAAAGTTGTACATTCTTGGTATGTCATCCACTGGGAGTTGGAGGACTGGAATTTTCCTTTTGGGGATGTTCCAAGCTTCAGAGCTGATAATTCTCCCAGTACTGTTTCCGTCAATGGACATTCTAATCATTGTCGCATTGGAATAACTACCGATGACAATAAGTAGTGGTGTTAGGTCTAGAATGACCTCCATTGCTGCTGTTGGCTTGGTGATGTTGGTTTGGCGCCAATAGTGTTTAAGCTATTCAATCTGTCTCTTTGTTCCCGTTCTCCCCTACTGTTTTCGTCAATGACCATTCTAATCATTGTCGCACTGGAATATCTACCGATGACAATAAGCTGTGGTGTTAGGTCTATAATGACCTCCATTGTTGCTATTGGGCATCTTCATGGCTCCTGTAATTCTGAGGCATTCCAGTCTCTACAGGTTACACAGACTTTGCCTTGCTGTACGTTGCTCTAGTTTTGTATACCAAGAAACTGCTTCAGAAGTAATCATGGATCTTATTATCATGGTATACAGCCAGCGCAAAATGTTAGTGACGCAGCCCTATCTATTCTGTCTGTTGGTTTGATGTAGATCCGACATAATACACTAAACATAATTGAATATTTTAATATGCTATGAATAGTGATGGAAAATTCGCTCGAGTTATCGCTCGAGTTACTACATTCGCAGGAAAAAAAGTGCGTTGGGGATGGCTGTCGTGTATACACGACATCAACTCAATGCTTTCTTATGGACATTACAGAAACTCGCCCTGGACTTACGGCAATTTTTTTTCGGGGAAGCCTCCGTCCCGAAAGGGCCAGACGGACTTCGGTTTTAGCCAATGACCTCTAAATAAAGTAGACCCGGCATTTCATTCATAAAAAGAAAAAGATTAGAATCAGACATTCGTTTCTTGTTCTATGCGAGTGGGAACAAGACGGGCTGATCGCAGTCATGAAGAATTCCCGAGAGAATGGCAACGCTGTTCAGAGATCTTGAGAATGTGTGCCAGTGGCGTAGTTACTTTGATTGTAATATATAATTTAATATTATATTCTCGTAAATATGATTTTTGGATACGATATATTGTTGTGCTAGATGGCTCTTCAAATTTTGAAAATGACTACTTCTATACTCCAATCACTTCTATACGAAATTAAGCAAGAGTCGCACCATTGTCTTATTGTTTCTGAATAAAATCACTAAAAATAATACCACAAAACACTAAAATATCTGGAAATCACCTCATAAAACATTTCGAAAAACCACACATTGGCAACGCCGTAAAGCAATTTATGAACGAATTCGAACTGGATGTTTTGTTGGCTGCCTGAATTTAGGAGTAAAGATAGTAAAATTCGTACGTTTTCAGTATCAGCTGGCGTTGCGACGTTGTCGATTGTTTTATGTTAAATTTCTTAAAATCTAAAAATTATAATTACAGAAGATTTAAATAACGGCTAATGCTGATTGGGAGTACATAGTTCGTGATAGTAGGCTACCTTTAATTATTATCGGTTTAAAGTATTCTACGACGTAATCTATATTTGGAATTCCTGGTTTACAATGTGGGTTAGCTATCCCCGTACGTATACGTAGGTAAGATTTCCTTTTAAATGCGGTCGAAGTGGAAATTTAGCATACATGCAATTTTCTAAGGCAATGATGGATTTCGCCAAAATGAGTCGCCAGGTCTAATTTATTTCGATGTCATTGGTTTTAGCCACAACATGACATTTTCGCATATACATATCAAATATATACGGATTATCGCCTATCCCTACAATGTGTTGGAGTTGAAGCCGAGAATGAATGTTTGTGGTTTGTGAAGCTGAGTTAGAGGCAACTAGATAATCGGTCCATGTATATTTCACAGAAGTTCGTCTGTTAGGCAGATACTGGCGCAACAGCGCAACTCCAAATTCCGAATATCGATTAGCCCTTACTCTGAGGATTAGCCAAGTTGGCCGGAGCCGTACGAATCAACAGCTGGTGCTAACTCTAGTCTCTTATTGGTCTGGTTGGCGGATCGATAATTCAAAATCCAGGCTTGCGCACTACGCTTGAGCACAGCTAACTGGGCGACTTATGCAAATTCCTTCAGAATATTTATATTTCCAATTCACCGGCTTGGCTTCACAGAATGCAGTTTGGAGTCGATATATTTATATTAATATATATAATATGCATTTTCGCCATCGCGTCGCCCATCTCTCAAAAATCTAATATCTATACCGGGTGCGTCTCAAAAGTGGCTCACCCCCTATAACTTTTTTATTTTTTCAGATAAAAAAACGAGATTTGGTATGTTAGCATATGACTTAAATTAGGATTGACTGACGTATTTCGTTGTTTTCGGTCACTTCCTGTTTCACCGGAAATTACTACAACTTTTGATTTTTAAATTGCAAAAGGAGCCTTGGGATTGTCTAACGTTTTTAGTGTCTCATCCGATTAAAAGATACCCAAATCATACTTTTAATCATATCTCAATTTTTTCAAATGGAACGAGGGTGACTCATTAGCATATTTGGAAAGAGTATTTTTTTACGAATAATTTGATACCACACACTTGGTAGTTAGACTCAAATTGTCGTTATGAACCACTTGTTACAATTTCAAATAAACCATATTTGAAAATGCCAGTAGATGATATGTCATTCTATTCAGAGTGTCATTTTCTATCGAATAAAATAAAAAAAAATCCTAGAATGCCATTTAAAAATCAAAAGTTGTAGTCATTTCCGGTGAAATAAGAATTGCAGAAAACAATTGAATACGTCAATAAATCCTAATTTATGCCATATACTAACATACCAAATTTCGTTTTTTTAACTGAAAAAATAAAAAAGTTATTGGGGTGAGCCACTTTTGAGAAGCACCCGGTATGTTACTATATTTCTGATCATTGCAGGTTAACATAAATGAATCACGGCCTATGAAGTTTGTGAAAGTGCCCTATTTGAGATCGGGTAATGAAGTTGTAAAGGATAGCCCCGATCTAGACCCAGAAGCTGGCGTGACGTCTGTCAATGAAAATGGCAGCGCCATCAACTTTAAGCCTAGTATTTCCAAACAGAAATCTTTATCACGAAGCTTGCACGGTAAAGAAGGAAATGGACTCGTTGGCCAATTTGTGGTACAGTATGATGTGGTCCGAGATCCACAAGGTGGAGAGGTAATTCCAATAAATCATTTATATTTAAATTGATGCGTATTTATATACGGAGCAAATTACCGATCGAAAAACTTTAGCGATCTATTTGTTTGGGCTTTCCTTCAACTTATTGAAAATTTACGTGTTTTGACTGTTATTTTTACTGTTTCTCAATACATCTATAGGGTGATTCACGGCGATGGCACGTTAGACAATTATGGAGAACCGGTGATTTTTACATAAAGGCGCCTGCTCCATCTTTCTAAAATATTTTCAGCGTTACAGTGTTGCCGCATCATTCGAAAAGTGGTAGCATCTTTCTTATTTTAAATGGAACACCCAGTATATTATTAAATTTTGGGAAACTACTTTCATATCTCAATTTTTTTTTATTATACTAACCTACCTATCTCTAATAGCTTTTAAGATAAAAAATAAAACGTGTAAAATTGACAAAAACATGATCGTCAATAAGCATTGGTAAAATCGTAAACTAAACATTTTCAAAGTTGAAATTTCCGTTATAAGTTAACGGAGGAAAATGCATGTTTTTAAATAATGGTTTTAAAAAATAGTTCATATAATTACAAATTGAACAAAAAAAATCGTTGATATCGGTTAAGAAATGCCTCTAATATAAAATAATTAAATATTGTTAATTTAAATGGCCGGGCAAACGCTCTCTACCGCGCCTTGCCGCTGTGACGTCACCCGCCGTTCTTCTGGTTGAGTGGAGCCAGACGCGTGTTTATTTTACACAGTTTGCTTTTAAACGCTGTTGAATCCGAGTCAAAATTTTAGTTATTTGTGTTAATTAATACATAATTAGTAATTAGTGATATTTTTAAATAGTAATGGATGAGTGAAAACAGAAAAAAATGGTCCAAGGCCATGAGAAGAGATGCAAAGAAAAACGTTAAATTATCCTCTATTTTTACGATTTATTGTTGTGAAGATCATTTTGATGTAAGTTCATATATTTATGTATATTGTCTTACATAGGTATATGAAATTTGAATGTACAGGGTTTTTCATTATATTTTGACACCCACATACAGCCTTAACTGCAAGTTTTAGAAGAAAACATTAAATAAAAAAGTTGCATGGTTTTTCATATACTCTCTTTTAAAATTAATTCTAGTTATACAGGGTGTCTCAAAAAAGGTGGTCCAGAAAATTGTAGGTATTTTACGCTTTTCAACTGTCAATATTTCGTAAACATTTGAAGATAGGTATAGGATATTATACATGAAATATATCTAGAGTATCTAGAAATTTCCGAAGAATCCAAAAATATATAGGGTGTTTCACTTAAAAAAGTAACTTAATTTTGGCGTTGTTTTTTAATTTTGCTTATGGGACACCTTGTATAATATTTTCATTACTGATAAACAATTTATTTCCTATAATTTCGTAAAAAAAACAATCTTTAAAAATAACAAGGGTAAGGGGGAGTCAATATATAAAAAAAAATCTTTTTCACGCTATGCTCTGGAGTTATTTTTCCACGTACTAAACAAATATTTTTGTCTCTTTTTACTTCTACATAACCTACACCATTATCTCCATATGTCTCCCTGCCTGATCTGAAAAATAAGTTTATAACATTAATTTATAACTATATAAAAATTCGTGACAGTATAGGTACCTACTTATACTTAAATATGCCTCAGTACTACAAAGAATAAATGTTACATACCTCTCTGTTTTTTTCCTCATAATTCAGCACCAATAAATTGGGAATTTGTATTTATAAAAGCAGCCAACATAAAAGCATCGACTTTTGGCAAGTTATCTGATTGTGCGTTTACAAACCCGGAATCTGTCATTATTTAAAAAATTCTCAGAACACACAACACATACAAATAATAACTGCACAAAAAAGCATAAAAAGCTCCTTCAATCAATGCTAAAAGCAACAAAAATGTCTTAGTACGCCACCTAAATACGTACATAAACGGAACACGTCTGGCTGCTGCTGGCGATCGCGTGTCGACGAGAACGGCGGGTGACGTCAGACCAATAGAATATCGTTTCAATTCGCGAGGCGTCGTTTGCGTTATCTATAGTATTTTAATGGCCCGTTTTATAAAATTGTGGTACTGCTTTCAAGAAAAAAGTTTTTTTTTGCATTTATGCATATTTATTCTAATAAATTGAACAGTTTCTGGCGAAAAATAAAATATATGCATCTTCCTCATTGGATATTACACAGAGAGAGCGAGCAAAAATATATATTTTCGTTTGTTATAAAGTTACTCAAATCTTTATTATTTTAAATTCAATCCTATGAATATTATTCAAAAATTCAAAAGACTAAATAAAATTGCTTTTCAACGCTATAACATGTTCCTATACTTAAACCTGCCGGTTTCTTAAATAGAGCTATTTAAAAATTAATAATTCTATTATTATAGTTTCATTTTAAAAATTTCATTACCATGACAATTTTAGAAATTTAGCACGTATTGATACTTAATAAAGTTTGAATATTTGTCATGGAAACGATTTTCTTTACACGAAACAATTATTATAATAGAATTATTATCTTTTAAATAGCTTTAGTGAAGAAACCAGAAGGTTTGGGTATAGGAACATGATATATCGTTGAAAAGCAATTTTATTTGGGTTTTGATTTTTTAAATAATATTCATTTTCTGACCTCCCTGTTTGATATCCAATCAGTTGATTTAGATAGATTGGATATGCCGACTTTCCTTAACTTATAAACGAAATTTCAGCTTTTAATATGCAGAATTTATGATTTAACCAATGCTTATTCACGATCATGTTTTTGTCAATTTTACACATGTTTTACTTTTTATCTCGAAAACTATCAGGGATACGTATAGGTTAGTATAATATAAAAATTATGAGATATCAAAGTATGTAGTTTTCAAAAATGTAATAATATACCGCGTGTTACATTTAAAATAACAATGTAGAATGTAGAATGTTTAGGAGGGGATTAATCACCGCGACCTTATAGATCTATTGTGTGTTCCCCTTTCTTGAGTTATAACGAGTTATAACTCATCATACAGTCTCAGGGCTTTAAGAAAAGCCAGTATCTGAGACGGCTCCACAGAGGCCAGCTCTCCATCCTCGACATCAGACGTACCAAGGTTCATGGCACGAATGGTCGTCGTCTCGGCGCACTCAGTGATAAAGTGTTCTGGTGTTTCCCCATTTTCCCCACAAAATCTGCATTCGCCGTTGTTTCTCAGTTTCAGCCTACTGAGGTGTTCGTTGAGGAGACAGTGTCCTGTTAGAAACCCCGTGACAATCCGAAGAATGTTTTTACTTAAATCAAGGAAAACCTTTGATTTTTCTTGGTCATAAGTTCTGAGGAACTTTTCGAGTGTCTTAGACCGTTGGAGGACACCCAGTCCAAGTTACGGATGGAGTCTTCCAGATTCTTCAGTTCCGCTTTCAGTTGGTTCCCGTTTGGAAAACAGAACGGTTCTGGTCCTGTTAGTGGAGTGTTCGCTCCTTTTCTAGCTAGATCATTTGCTTGTTCATTGCCTTCTATCCCTTGATGAGCAGGCACCCAGAGTAGGAGGACTTTATTTTCTTTGCCTAATTTGTTGAGCTTCTCTAGGCATTCTTTGACCAACTTCGAATTGATGGTTACTGAGTTGATCGCGTTAAGTGCTGCCTGACTATCGGATAGGATGGCAATTTCCTGTTTTCGATAGTTCCTATCTAAGATAAATTTACGCATCTTTCGATAGCGCAAATTTCTGCCTGAAGGATACTGGGGTAGGTGCCCATTGGTTCGGAGTATTCAGTTTTCGGCCCAAATACTCCTATCCCTGTCCCTGCTTTGGTTTTGGAAGCATCAGTATACCACGTGATGGTATGGTCTTTTATATGCTGAGTAAGCGTTTCTTTCTTCCAATCCTTTTTATTACTCAATACTACAGTGAGGTCTTTCTCAAAGTTGTAAATTCTTGGTATGTCATCCACTGGGAGTTGGAGAAATGGAATTTTCTTTTTGAGGGTGTCCCAATTTTGTTAAAATAACAAAGATGTTACCACTTTTAGTATGAAGCAGCAACACTGTAATGCTGAAAATAATTTAGACAGATGGAGCAGGTGACTTTATGCAAAAATCACCGGTTCTCCATATAAGTTTAACGTGCCATGTACCGTGTGCCGAATCACCCTGTATAGTGTTTAACGTAGAAAAAGAATACTTATAATATAATCACGAATTATTTACATTCCTGTGTTCAAAACAAGGTTAGAATTGAACGCAATCGGTGAAGTAACTTTTAGTCAATACAGAATCTCAATTTTGGGTATCCTTTAACTATTATTTATCGAATATCAGAAATGTATACCTAATTAAAAACTAGAATTGACCTTGTGATACGCCTGGCAGACGTGTTTGTTAAAAATTGAGATTGAGATATACTGTGATTTTGTTTCAGATCTTTGGAAGAAAATAACTCTGTAGAGCTACGCCAATTCGATAATTTTTTTGAGGCAGTCATTATCATGTCATTATAAGCTTTTATTTAACTTGCTTTGTATGTAACTGTCTATGTATGTTTGTTCGGGGCAAATCATGTAAGCTAAATTAGAACCACTTCCTTTCATTGTAGGAAATTGAAATTTGGCATGTAGGTTCAGTCCCGATGACAATACATTTTTTTGCAAGGTATGACCCGAATTTTTGACAGCTGTCAAAATGGCGGCCAAAATGAAGGCATTTTTGATTTTTTAAAATTCTATTTATGAATGGATCAGGCTGAAATTATCTATCTAGGTATATTGTGGGTATATACCAAGGTAAATATACATATGAAAAAAAAATATGGGCGGCCATCTTGAAAAAATGACAATTTAATGACATACATAAAGTCAACCGATTTTGATAAAAATCGAAATATAGGATGGCCATGGGCTAAAATGAAATAAAAAAAAAATTGAGCTGTCAAATTTGACAGTTGTCAAAAAAAATTCAAAGTTGTTCGTTTTTGACAAAAATCGATATATTGGATGTCCCATCTACC